AAATACTTCTCTTGCAAAAGCAAAGAATCAAAAAAATATTATAAACTTTATATGTAGAACTGAAAAAGGAAAAGAGATGTTTAACTGTAAGAGTGAATCGTTGTCATTATTACTCTAAGGTTGAATATTTTTTATGTATTTTTTATTATTTATATATACGTACATGCAACTGTTCGATATATCCTCTAAAAATTTTCCATAATAATAAATATAAAGACGTGCAAGTATAATTAAAACATTCAATATTCAAAAATTTATTAAACATATTTAAAAATTTACTTCAAAAAATAATGTATTTCTTCATATTATCCATACGAGACTATTAATCCTTTAACTTAAAAACATAGATTGGAATATATACATAAAATATGCATATACATATACATGTTATATGTTTTTTGTAAATTGTAAAAAATTTACATAGATATATATTTTGTCGTTAACATATATATAATACTATGTCATTAATACGCGGTCCTCATATTCAAAGTAGACAATAGTAATTTCTTCGTGTGATATATATGCAAATTCGCGACGTACAATAACGGATAGTTTTTGCCGGAACGGAATCAAATATCTCCGACGTAACTAAAGAAATATAATTAAGATGAAATGTAATAATGAAAAATAGAATCGGCAATTTTTCATGATAATCATGATAAGCAAAACAATTGCAAGACGCTCGATTATTCCGATAGTTGTAGCGTCAGAAAATTGCGAGATGAAAAGATAAAAAAAAAAAAAAGAAATTAAGACGAAACAAAGACGTTAAATCAGAGAAAAGATTGGCGATCTAATCAACGCGAATCTAACAAAATCATAATCTCGTTTAACTCAATCAGTTAACTTTATTGCATGGTCCATTCTTCGCCTCTAAATTATCGCGTAGTCGACTTGCCTATATTTATCGGGAGAGTGCGCTCGCTCATTGAAATTATTGCAAAACTTTCCCGAGTTTCTGTGAACCGTAATCTGATCTGATTAATTAATAATTTAATGTACAGTCGACGAAGCGAAAAATCAATACGCTCTGCAAGTTCATCGGCGATTCCATCAGCCTCATAATGGTACGAAATCATTTGCTTTTACAATTACACGAATGTTTTACAGTTACACGGATTAAATAATCGCAATAACAATAGTCCCTTCGATGATGACACATACATGATGAGAATTTAATTCTCATACAAAACTTAATAAGAGGCTTCGGTTTTATTAAATCTCATGCGAATGCAAATGTATTTATATTTGTCGCGAATTACTATCAGCTAACAGCAGAACGATTAATAATCGCATGTATTATTCTCCTCCATCCCGCAGATTTTCAAACTTTCAATATCATCATCCGCCGCCGCAATCATGCTGTTATATAAGGTATATAAAATGCTCGACGTGTTGCGTTTGAATTATTAATTAGCACGCGGCACCGCATCCAGTAGAGAGATGATGGCATCTATGAGAGAGGGCTGCCATGCAACAGGGCTAAAATGGAAATCGTTGATGCATCGCGAGCGATCATAAGGGTGCATTAAAAAACTTTATCTCGCGTCGCGCAGCATTAATCGACCGTCTCGCGCATAATGGCGTGCACGATAATTGGCGCATAAATTATGGCGGTACAGAGAGCCCCGTCGTGACGAGGAAAATTCCACGAGCGTCCTGTAATGAATAACAATCTATTTCCGGCGAGACAACCGAGCGTTACGGAAGCTGTGCTGCTCCAAAGAACGTTCTCTCTCTTTCTCTCTATCTCTCGCTTTCTTTCTTTCTCTCTCTGGAATGCTACCTTCCTTCTCTCTTGGTGATCGCGTCGATATCTGAGAGCTATAATCGAGCCGAGGCGGACAGACTTAATTCGTCGCTAACTCGATACATCGACAAGGCTTGTCAACAAGTCAAGCGGACCGTCATTTAATTACGTAACAAGGCACACGAAGGGTTGCTCCTGGCTGTTGGGGTTAACGCGGGAGAAAGAGAAGAGACGAAGCGGCAAGAGAAGGGAATGACAGAGGAAGTGGCAGAGATGAAGGAGAACAAGTAGCGAAGATGAAAGAGCAAGAGACGCGTACGACAAGGAGTAGCGTCACATGGGAAGGATATGAACGAGGGAATATGGCCCGAGGTATGATCCTTTACAGAGAAGAACAAGAACGAGAGAAGGAGATGGAAGCGAAGAATCAGTCGCGAGGACAGCAGATCTGAAGGCGAATTCCCTTTTAAACATGACGTCGCAAGTTTAGCGTCAGAGTTGGTTGTATAATTCTCGTTTCGCGTCAAGATTAAATAAAATTCTCTGAAATATAGACCGACATATCTCTGACGTTAAATTGGACATGAGAATACGAGTCCGTGAGTTTAAGGAGCAAAGCGGTTTTCTTCTGTCAAAAGCGTTTGAACGATACAAACGTCGTCGAGAAAAGCGGAGATGGCAAACGCTGAAAGGGTTAGCTCCTAAATGCCGCTACAGCGCGCCTAAATCGGTCGAGTGCACAGACGGTGAACCGGAGGGGACGAGGGAAACGCGAGGGTATGTATCGCGTTCGTGTGTTACATCACGAGGGCGCCTTGTTTGTTCTGCCTGCTCGAGGCTCGCGTCGTCTGAATATTCAACAGCCTTTCCACCACACACGGCCACGACGGCGCTTACACGGGCGCGTGTACCGCGTGTATAAACAGTGCCGACAACCTCCTCGAACATTTCAGCGCCGGTCGCCGGTGCGTCTTAATGTGGGTCACAAAGGGGTTGAGCTTGGAAGAAGGGAATTGAGCCGCGTTGAAATCAACGCTAACGCTGCCATTTCATGTTGTCGTCGCATAGAAATAAATTGCAATCACGTTAATTATTCCCAATTTGTTAATGGGATTGAAATTTGTCTTTATCCTATAAATATTCGCACATGCAATGTACCTACATAAATTACTTATATGTAAATATATCAATTTTGATAGATAATTTTATTGTGTACAATATATGAAGACGAATCTATATCTGGAATTGTTTCTCGTGCTCTCTCTCTCTTGAAAAAATCTGATTTGGCAATCGTAGATAAAAATTGCCAAGAAAAAGAAAGCAGATAAAATTGGCCTAATTTCTTGATATCTCTGGAAATCAATATTTCACTGAGATTAATTTAACAGCGAATTAAAAGATGCGATTGTGCACAATTAATGAATGAGAAAGCATGAACAAAGATAATAAAAGGATTTTCGAACTGTATTTCGCGCTTGATATCAGAGCTTGCATCTAATTCGTTGCGCTTGAAAAGGAAAATAACTGCGACGTGAAATGAAATAAAAAAAAATGTTTGAAGCCATTTTTACGCAAATCGAGATAAAGCGAACTCGAAAGACCATCGTAAAAATGCCGTTTGCGTGCGAAAACTCGTCCGGATTGCACGTCACGGATGCGAGTGCATCTCTGCGAGTCATGGCTTTCAGCAACAAGAGCGCCGGCGCAGAGCGGAGCGGAACGGAGCGGAGCGGAGCGAAGCGGAAAGTGGGTCAGCGTCGTTAGCGTTCGATGGCGCCATTTCGACTCGTTCCGGCCGCAGGCGAAAGGGATGGATAGGGAGCAAACACGCGGGGTAGAATGGGGCGGGTTAGCACGAATTTTGTGGCCTCGCGCTACGGTTTTCGAGCACACCCCCGTGGTCATCGATCGTGGTCGTCTAACTCGATCGGTCGCTAACGAACCGTCGCCTCGTTCTTCCCCGTGAAAATGCTCTTTGTCGTTACGTGCTCTCGAAAGAAGGCTAACCGTTTAAATAAAGTAGAGCGGAAAAAATGCCGGAGGGAGTTTCCGAAACGAAACATTACGGGGCGCATCGGGCAAAATTATCTATCGTATTTTACTCGTTACATTACATAAAGACTATAAAATTACATTGCGCGAATAATTAAAGAGCAGTGGAACATTTGCGAACCGTGGAATAAATTTCAAATCGCGCGAATATTTTATTTCAGAGAAAAAAAGATATTTTTAATCAACATAAACAGACAATCATCTAATGCCGGGACGAGAATGGTGAACTTTCATCATTTTTTTGCCGGTGATTCTAGATTTAATTAAAATGTACTGGCAAAAAAGATATACTTATCAAGAACGTAGCTACATTATGTATACACGTAATTTGACCAAGCTACACAAGAGAAACACACAAGAGAATATTTAAAAATAATGTTCCTGGCATGGCAGTATAATTAAAGCTGAATAATTTTATTACGGTAAAATGAGTGTACGCATTGCGCAGAATAATTATTGATAATGGACCACAATTTTTTTTCTACCGAGTAAGAGATAGCTTATTTAAAATTGTTGAAAATTGTTAATATTTTTTTCTTGAATACATTTATACTGCTGTAATTGTTAAACAAAATTAATTATTAATTAGGAAAGATTTTGTTTTGCAAAAAAAGATATATATATATATATATATATATATATATATATATATGTGTGTGTTAATTTTGTTATAAAACGCTCGATCTTACAGCTGGATTGATTAATAATAATTGCACAAATTTTCTATATATATATATATATATATTATATAAGCAGTACTATTGATGGAGCCAATTTGAATGAAATTCGAATGACAGTCTATCCCACAACATTCACCTGTTACGGATCGTGTAACAAGTGTCAATATATATCGTTTCATTAAATTATTAATAATTCTAAATTATTAATAATTCTATCCATTTAGAACATTGCAAATAATATTGATCCATTAAAAGCATAATTTTAGAAGAGAATAGACAGACAAAATGTAAAGAATTTTATCATTTTAATAATTAGATAATTGTGACTATGCAATGACAATGTTATTTATTTTATGATAATGCTAATGACCACGAAAATCCGACTATGTTTCTTCGTAAAAACAGTTATTAAGTATTTGATTTTTGTTATATTACTAATTGAAATCTTCGTATCACTTTCAGAACTTCGTTACTTTCAAAATAATTCAATTCATAGTTTATAGCCTTTAATCACTCACCTGACACTGCTGTGGTCCCTGCCTATTCGGCGAGGAGGCCTTCGGTCTCGGTTTCTTCACTCCCAGCTTCCCAGGATCACCGCCACCGGCTCTCGATTCCTCGCTGCTACCTGAAACCAAAGACATAGAATCCGTTAACTATCGTAACGCCTCGATCGTTTGATCCGAGTCGAAAGACAAATCGATGTTGCTCGACTCGTCGCGAATTGCTAAAGTGGAAGAGAATGTTTCCTCCGACGCTAGACTATCTCTTTTATCGTCGAGGACTGACAACTTTTTGCGTCTACGACGCCCAAGATTCCGCTCGTCCTGCAACGTTTCTTCCGTGTCCCCGACACCACCCCGTCATCATGAGAGATGCAAGGTAGCGTCTACAAGACTTCGACATATGGAAGATTGATTGCCTACCGTTCTTTTTGCGCGCGACCTGCGATATACTTAATGGTCGATTGGCCTTGTCATCAACATCGATCCAGAGCGCCAACTGCGTCGTGAAAGGATCTCGAGGTGGCTTCTCGCCAAGGATTATACTGGCTTCCTTTACGAGAAGCGTCTCTCTGTTTTGCTGGCAGCCGTTTTTGAATGATATCAGAATGGTACACAAATTTTCTTAGAAAGCTTCAGTATATATCAAAAATCAATAATATATTTTATAGAATATAATATAGTTCACTATTCCATTTTACCGAAATAATTTCTTCATGAAAGAAATCACGCACAGTACAAATTTTAAAGAATTTATGAAAAATTGTAATGTATTTGGATATATATAACGAAATAAGTTAAAGGGAATATAAAATTTTTTTCTTACTAAATTAGTGCTTGAAATACACGTGCGACTGATAATTGTATAAAAAATATAATTTTTTTTTTACAAAATAAGAACACTTTGATAAATATGTCTTATCAAATGTATAAAATAGAAATTGTTGTTCAATTTTACTCTCTTTCAATTTGCCACTATAAATAAAAAAACTTTTTATACAATCTACAACAACATTATAAGAGAATCATTAATAGGTTTCTTAATATATTTGTTGTCTGCAAGTATACGTGAAAAAATATAAATTAAAAATATGGATAAAATATTATTTCATAATTCAATCAATCAATCATTTGTAAGTTCGAAAATAATCAACAGATATTTTTATAATTCTCAAATGGCATTATATTAATTAACGAATAAATCCGCGATCAAAAACTGTTGCCGACTAGCTATCATGGAGAACAGCATGCATCTGCAATTTTCCTTTGCAACGTCGGGAATGCTTGTACGTCTCTATGGATCGTCGTTACCGACGTGCAACACCTGCGATCATCGTTCTCCTTGCCACGCCTCGCCTACTTGCGAAGCAGCTAATTAATTATTGTTTCAGAGCTGCCGCTGCCGCAACGGTGTTGGAAACTTTTGTTGTGCTATTTGCACAACGCGAACTGAAGGAAAGATGGACTCGCTTAGTACGAAATTATGACACGGACCGTGTGCGCAATAGATAAGCGTCGACGAGCGATTTTTCTCGGAAAAATTTTCGTACGTCGTGGGAAATCAGCTGGAGATGCAGCTAAATGATCTTCCTCCTCCTTTCACTGTATTTTACATCGAAATAATTACGAAAGAGTATGTAATCGGTTAACGTGCATCAAAATCCGCGTATATTCTATATTTTTCATCCACAACTGTATCTTTAAGAATAAAATGCAATAATATATTTTTTCCAAAAATAAATCTCTCTTCTTCTAGCGGAAGATAGATAAATGGACGGAAAAAATCTGTAAAAATAACAGAGTTATTCTTATTTATACTCTCTCCTCTTTCTCTCCTTTCTCTCTTCTCACAATATCATACCGATTATATTGAACTCACGCTGTATTTTTCCCGCACAAACAGGATTTATCCATCCCGCTGATAAAAGGGAGCTTCTAGTTGAAAACCGGCTTGTGTACACGGATGCCCTTTACGCGAATGTTTCTCGGCTCGCGAGTTTTGCCGGCGCGTCGCGTCATACTTCGAAAATCAGCAGGCTGCGAGTAAACAAGTCTCTTTTCATCAGCTTCGACGGACGCGACCGTATTTACCGGGAACTCATATAGTCGTCGACTACGAGCGCAAACATCGAAGATGCACGTTTATACGCCAAACTTTAATAATTTTGTCTTCGAACTCTGCAAAGACGCTGCGTCTCGCTCGCCGCTTGTATTCGCTGTTAATAGATACTTTCCTCTCTCTTTCTCCTTTCTTGTCTCGCTTGGCGGCCGCAATTTAATAAATCATCGAGCCTGTCTTCGATGGCCTGGCAACATGCACCTCCCCTCCCCCTCAAAGCCACCCCAAGCCGAGTTTGATAAACGGCGGCTTCTCTCACAGTCGAATAATTCGCCGATCTCGATATCCGAGATACTCATCCGAATTCGGCCGAGCCGCAGAATTTCGAGCTTCGTGACCGCGTTCGATAAATTCTTCATCGATTTCGCGGAGATCGCGAGCGAGCGGCCAGTCGAATAAAGCGAGTAAAAGTTTGTTATCAGCAAAATCGCCCGTGCCCGCATCGCTCTAAATCATTGTAGTCGAACTAGTCTACGCTTTCTCTTTTATGTGGATTTTCTGCAACGTGGACTGCAACCACAATGCGATCAATCAAATCCGTCAGAAAATCGTGACTCACGCTCAACCGAGAATTGGCGTTCCATCGGGGAACAGCGCATTCACAATGGTATCAAAAGATTAGATTGAAATGGTAATTTGACGCATGTATCGGTTACAAAAGAACCTTCCCTGTAATAAAATGCCTTCGCACTGAAATAAAATGCTTTAGCGTTGTAAAAGGACCGTGGATATATTTTAATATTTACGGTAATCGTTGTCGTTGGCGATTACGAATTTCGCGCTATTATTCAGTTACCGTGTTGCTATAACATTAAGCCCGATGCTATGCACGCTCATTGTGAACGCAAGATGCGAGCCGCAACCTGGGATCCCGCAGCTAGGGATGCGTTTGTAATTCCATTTACCACATAAGTGGATGGTGCAACGTGCAGATGGCATGCTTAATAAAGTGTACTTAACCGAGCCGAGGTTCAACTACGCCTCGACCCGGCCTCGATTGCATTCGCGTTTCGTACCGTCGCTGCTATTCGTACCCCCGGTATGTCTCAGAAGGCGGAGCGCGTCTCGCACGACGAGTGTGTATAATTGCATTGCCAATTGCAATAGACAAATACACAGTTGCTAAATATTTTTGTGCAATATAACTAGATTATTATTTTTTATGCTAAAATAAAATCAGTCACAGATACTAATAATTAAAAATTTTTAACAATTGCACAATTGAATATTTATTTCCTAAAACTCCATACTTTAGAAAAAATAAAAATATCTTTATTCAAGAATATATCAACTATATATCAATTAACATATAACTCCTGAAATAAAAGAATTCGTTAATAAGAATTAAAATTATCTTTGCATTCACATTGTACGAAATTAATAATTGCAATTAGATGTTTCAATGATCTTGATTTAATAACAACACATGTGTATAAATAACGAGAATATTTTGTGGCGCAATTTGTGCAATTATGTTCGTATCTTCGAGCGATCGTCAACAATGTTAGGCTGGAAAATGAACGTATAGTGACCATGACTGCAAATAATTCCACGGCCGACTACATCGTATTAAACGTACTAATAAATTCACATATGTACTCGTATTCTTGGCGATCTCTCGATAATCATAAAAATCACTTTATTTGAATCTGCGCCAAATTGGCGACGTGCATAGTCTATCGTTCATAAATTCGTAAACATGACTTGGCAAAAGAATAATATTTAGCTCTGAAATTTGCGAGATGTTGAACATGAGATATTTGAGGCTATTATATTGTGATTTATTTTTTTCTTTCATGATTTTATATCAGAAATAATATGAAACTAATTTTCTCTTTTTTTTCCCTCTTTTTCTCTTCTTTAACTAATTTTTCCATATTTTAAATCTTCAAAATAATGTAAAAAAGACATAAAAATATAAGAAGACAAAAGAAGAGAGAAAAAGAGCAAAGAAGAGAGAAATACATGACTACATATGAAATATGATAAAACTATATAAATCTTGTACAAAGATGAGTTTAAAGAGAGAGATTAAATATACATATACGTTAAAAAAGGTAAACATCAGAATTCTCGAATATCTCATTAATGATATTAATACATTTAACATTTCGTTATTTTCATTTCTCTGCAAATACCACGATGTGAATATCAATTAGCGAAATGAATATGAGATTCTAAAAGCCATGGAAATCTCATGGATAGACTATTACTTCGAGAAATAGCGTGTCTCTGCAAATGCAATTGCATCCGAGAGCTTTCACACATGCCCCCAAATGATTCTCCCTTCTCGAAATCCCGCGGCTTAGAAAGTGGGAATGGGTCTACTCGACGAACGTGCATAATTGCACGTTCGACGTTGATCACATCGGAGACACGTTCCGTATACAAACGCGCGATGTCTAATAAGGCAAAGTAGATGATATATATTAACTGTTATACAATTTTCCACGGTATAATAAAAATTTATATCAGACAGATCGATGAAAAGATTGTTTATTATTTCATGGCGCAAATTATAGATACTACGAATAATTTAGATGGAAGCTATAAATATGTATCATTATCATGTGTCTATATACATACATATATCACTTATAAATAGGTTAATAATATCTATACATATCATCACGTATATTACAATAGATCCCTTGAGCGGATTTTATACAAAATGCCTTGTTTAAAACTAGTTTTGTCTTTTTTAATTAGACAAATGTCTATTAAAGTTACACAAAGTTAATAATGCTATTATCATATATATATATTTATCAAAAATGTAATATTAACCAATTTTTTTACAAATTTTATTTTCTCAGTATCACTATTATTGCGTGATACTTGCATAATTCGACGATCAAGCTTATGGGACACAACATGTATTACGCACAACCTATATTCGACGACACGCGTGGCTTGTCGATGGTCAGAGGGATTTATCGGGATTTACGTTCGCGTAACAATGGAACCGCCGTTTACCGGAAAGAGGGCTCTCGCGACATTTCGAGA